TTGATGGAGCCGGTGACCAGCATCAGGGCCGCCAAGCAGAGCTGGTACCTCGTCCAGGCCATCGCTGCTGCCTCCCGCTCCCAGTCAGGCGGCCCCAACTATCCCCCGCAGAGGCTCGGGTGCATTTCCTCCTCGGCCCGTCACATGACCGCCATCGATCAGCTGACAGCCGGGAGCGATCGCGGAGGCGCCCGCACTTTGCGAGCCTCCTGCTCGGCAGCGAGCGCGGGGGAGAAGCTCGTGATTCTCTCCTCCCCCCCCCCCTTGGAAGTTGAAGGATGCTTTCTGGGCAGGGTTGGATGGCAGAGGACTCCCTTCGGGCGCTAAGCGGAGTCTATGCCCTTTACTGAAGGCAGGCAGGAGTTCAGCCGGTGAAGCTTCCTCTGCCGTTCAGCTGGTTAATGTCAAGAAGGATTTTGTCCTTAGCTGCTCATCTCCCCAACGATCACAACTTGCATTGCTTGTGCTGCATTCCTAGGGGTGACGGTTGAAAAACTAATTTGAGGGAGCCAAGCGGTTTAGGGAACGAGGCAGGGATTTCACTGCATACATGAAGTAAGTAAGGAACAACAGAGCTGGGCAGAAATCAGGCTTGCTACAATCAGATACGAAATGGAAACTGCAGATAGGGAAGAATAAGGAGGTGTTTCTAATAGAGGCCCCCACACTGGTTGATCTCAAAAAAACTAAGGAGAATTAGGCTTGGTCAAGACTTGGATGGGAGACCACTAAGATATTCTGTTCCTGAAGGCGAGACTGAGAAGTTGAAAAAACATCTTGAAAGAAAGCAATGCAAAGAAAATTCCATGGATACGTCCAAGTAATCAGGAGAAATCCAACACAATTTGTTTTTCTTCTTTACTTTACAAGCTATGCTTCCGGATGGTGAGATCAAATTGCCGTAGACTGGTGATTCTAGCTCCAAGTGTAAGTTGGCAGCACAGTTACATCAAGAACCAGAGCAAGAGGTAAAATTAATAGTTTTATGGAGGTTACTTGATCAAGAGGCTAGCATTTTTTTGAATGTACAAGGAGATGGTCCAAGAATGCATTCAAATAAATGACTTGCATTCAAAAGTCTGTTAACTTACCTAACCTTCTATGAATAATTACTATCTATATGCAATCATCTTTGGCTACGTGTCCCACATTTCATTTTACCAATCATCTCCTTTTACCATTTTCTCCTCTCCTCCAACCAGTCTGACAGAGCAGCATATTCTTTTGCAAGGATAATGCTGCACAAATTCAAATGAAGTGATTTGTACTCCAGGAAAGCGTATGCTAAACCACTGTTATTCTATAAAATGTCACAAGACTATATTGTTTTCATTTAGTTTAGTCAGTTAATTTCTTTAGCTTTATTATGTTGAATACATTTAGGAGCAAAGATCTGTGTGTGCTTATTTTTTGAGCTGGGCATAACTAGGCCAGTGATGAGTGCCCCACTTTGGAACAGTAGCAAGACAAGAATGTAATGGTATTGGAAGTTACTCTGCTTTACCACACTGGGAAACTTCAATGTGCTGAAGCCACACAACTGGGAGTGACTCAGGACTTCATAGTTTCTGGGAATCTACCCCTAATAGTTCTAGACACTTGGATTCCTATGTTATGCAAAGTCAAAATGTCATTTGCTTGATTTTGACTTAGAATTGTGTGTGAACCAAACCATTGTGGTTAAGGTAGTCATGGCTTAGCATTAACAGGAAGCCAGCCATTCAAGAGCCAGTTTGGTGTAGTGGTTAAGGCACCAGGCTAGAAACCGGGAGACTGAGTTTTAGTTCCACCTTGGGCACAAAACCAGCTGGGTGACCTTGGCCCAGTCCCTCTCTCTCAGCCCTAGGAAGGGAGCAATGGCAAACAACTCCTAAAAAACCTTACCAAGAAAACTTCAGGGACTTGTCAGGGCGCTTGCCAGGAGTGATAGAGGTGCTCTTAATGTTGCATTTATTGGTGGGAAAATGATGGTGATTCAAGTGTAGGGGAATTTTCTATAGTTCTGTTGTCATGGTGGGCAGATCATTAATTAGAGAGTTTAGCTGCATAGGTTCTCCTGAGCTTTCCAGGGATGGACAACTGATTAGCAAGGGTTACTTTCAGAGGCTGGTCGAACTAAAAGCTTTCCTCATGTCTTGAGATGTTCTCATCACTCAGATACTAAGATGCAGTCTCTTTTGGATACTCTGTGATCCCCAAAGTTTCACCATTTTCTGTTTGGATCTGTTTTTTCTTTTCATTGTTTTGAGATTACCCATAGTGACAGGACATGATGATAGACTTAGGACAACATGCTAGGCTAGGTTAAGATGGAATTGATTAGTTTGTGGTTCACATACTGTGGGAACTCAGCGGTTATTTTAGCATGCTGTGTGGACAAGGCCATGTTAAAACCATAATATGGGTGTGAGAAGTCTTTTTTGTTTTTATTTAGTCATAGCATATTCCATGAATACAGCAACTGTGATTTGTTAGCCTGGCCTTATTGTATTGTGTGAACGTAGACACTGAGCACCATACTTTACATTTTCTTTCATACTGGCTCATGATCTTTCAACTTTATCTGTATTTCTGTTTCTCACATAGCAGAACTGAGTCATTTTCTTCCCTTTTGAGTAAGTCAAACTTTTCCTCCTATTTTCTTCCACAGGTATGAGCATTATCTTGAGTTTTCCTGGACAAATCCTGCCCGGTCCCCAGGCAAAGCTACAAAATCTGGTGAGGGATGGGATGAAGTGGAGTGGAGTGGAGAAGAGAATTGTTAGAGGATTCAAAGCCATCCAGGATCTGACCTTCTTCCAGTGTTTGCTGATGTGTCATAATTGGGCTAATATCACAAACATGGGCAAAGTTTGGCCCACAAGAAGCTGTTGGACTACAACCCTCATTTTCCATTGCATTGGCCTCAATGCTCAAGAGCTCAAGAGAATTAAGAGTTGACAACATCTGAAAAGGCCATCTTGCCCCTCCTTGCAGAAGCCATTGTTTTGTTCGGCATCCTACGTGTGGTTGGGTTGCTTGCAAAGCTGTGGGAATCTCAGCATGTCTTTTCCATTCTGCAGGGTCTAAAGAAAGATAGTGATAATAAAGTGGTGAAGACAAAGCGAAAGAGTCCATCATAAGCCTAAGTTAGCAATGCCTGACTAAATATAGGTTCTTCTAGTAGATAACAACTATCAAGAAACACAAAAAAGAAATGGAGAAATAAAATCCAACAGAATAGCAATGGCTCAGCCCAATTTGTTTCACACCTAGGTGAAAACACACCCATTGCTGTGCAAAATATTTTAAAAAGGTTACACATGTGTGAACTGAGGTTTTTACTGTAGTTGTTCAGAAGCACAAACACTGAAAGCTCTTTTAGTCTGCTGAGCTTGACGATTCATCTTGAAATTTCAAAAGCTTCTAAAGCATATTTCTAATTTCTCCAGGAGATTTACCATGCCCAAGATAACATAAAAATCATACCTCACATTGCTTCTGGCATTTTGAATTATGTCTCATTAGGCAGCTGATGAATTTGGCTGTATGGTTGACTGACCACATTTTCTTGAGTTGAGAGCCAGATTCAATACCTGACAAGATGTGTCAGGTATTTTTAAACATTAAGAAGCTATTCCTGGCTTATTACTCTTGAGTAATGGAGCTGTTTTGCCTGGAAACTTAAACACATGCTGTGCATTAATATCTACTGAAGCCTCCACTTCTACAGATTGGTCCCTCTACTTTTTGTTTTTTTGTTAACTGTAGCAGCTATTTCTGAAGTCTCATATAATGTCAGATTCTTGGCTTGGCATTACATTCTTTGCCTGGATTACGCTCTCTAGAACTGCCTGGCCAGCAGGATAGGCCAAAGTACTTACATCAGTCTGTTGTGGAAAGCAACTTTCAAAGCTGACTTTACGGCTAATCAGTCTAAATGCAAGATGGCCCGTTGACTAGCTGATATGGACTTTGTCCCCTGCAGAATCAAATCTTCCAGCCCTTCTCTGCTACAGAGGAAGAGATTTTGAGAGACTGCAAGCAAATCTCTGGGAGAACAGAGAAAAGGAGTAACTGCTGACCAAGGAAGGACAAACTGGGATTTAACAAGTAAAGGGGAAGCAAGGGCAATGCTTGTTTCAGCAGGCTTGTTTATTTCTGTAGAAATAGGTAAGCATTTGCTATTAGAATGTTGATTTATGTTGATATGAGGGTGCTAATTAAATCTTTGTTACTTGTGTTTATGTCTCTAAATAAAATAAATATTGTATAATTCCCACAGTTGTCATATATTTTGGGCTGTGTCAAGGATCTAGCTTTACAGACTTGAACTCATCACTTTTCTTTCAAAAGCTGGAGCTATGTACATCTGCAGCTGAATAGTAAAGTGAGCAATTTGTAAAGTGACCAGCACCCTCTTATGGTCTGATCGGAGCAATGCATCTGACATTAGACTTTTTCCTTCTTAACTCCTTTGGAAGCTTTTGTTTCCTGTGGAATTGGACAGCTCTGTAAGTTATCTTTTTCCTCAGAGCTGAGTGTTTGAATGTTAATATTTAAAGTTTAAAAGGGCTACGACATTGGAGCTTTTTCTGTTTAATAAAGTTTAATTTTGTCTATACCCTATGAGATTGGTTTAGCTCCAAGGAGAGAAGGGCTGAAACTTCTAGTCCAGTGTTGTCCAAACTTGGCCACTTTAAGATGAGTGGACTTCAACTCCCAGAATTCTCCAGCCCACCACGCCTGCCGGGGGATTCTTGGGGGGGGAAGCCACTCATCCTTAAAGTGCCCAATTTTGACAAAACACCTCTA